TAGTGTTTAAAGGTTTCGGCAGTTTTTGATAGGTGTGGCTATGTACGTCCCTGATGCCACTGAACCCAGCGTTATAATGGTCTGGTGACCAGGATCTCACTTAGATATGAATCTTTATGGAGCATGGTCAGCATCTTTTTTTTTTCCACTCTAAGAAACATGTTAGAACCACTGTTGTCTAATAAAGACAAAGTCAGCTGCTTCCCATGAAAGGGGAAAATTTGAGGATAAAACTTTAATGATATGACTTTGATGACGAATGTATAGACACTGATAAGGGAAAGAATTTGATAAAGAATGTTTTAGAAATGTTTTATCTAAAGAGAAGAATACAACTAACTTTTACAGCCCCTGATAGCCAATCCCATAATCCGTTGGCTGAAAGATTTAATGACTTATCATAAACAATGACTAAAGCTTTCATTCACAAGGCTAAATTCAAACATGAGTTTTGGGCCGAAACAAGTAACCATGCTGCCTTCATTATTAACGTATTCTCTGGCGCATGGAAACGCTCTCATAAAATGATGCCTAAAGTGGCCGTTTTGACTACTTTTGGGGCTTTTGGTCATGTTCCCTTCTGGAATGTCCTAATTCTCGCAAGGGCATACTTTTAGGACAGGCCCTTGGCACATGCGGTGTTGCATGAGGATTTATGTTCCTATCAGTAAGCAAGTTATAAAAGCTAGAAGCTATTAGTTTAACAACTGGAAGAGAGTGAGAGCGAAAAGAGAGTTACCATAATAAAGCCCTATAGCCCCTGCCAAGTTCACCTGAAAAAATCTCAATCTAAAGGCAAAGAGGAATACAGAGCTCTATATTAAAGTCGGAACTACTAATACAAAATGAAAAGTTACCGAAACAGAGAATGCAAACTTTTTTTTTTTTATGAATCTGGCGCAAGAATTGAAGTACTGCATGAATTTACAGGCAGAAGAAGAAAAAAAGGTCAAATGGTTTCTAGGGGAGCAGTAAAAACGGTAGTTCGTAAAGAAGGAAAAGTTTATTATGATATCACATTTACTGATGAGGACACGGCACCGATAGAGGGTAATGAGGATGTTTGCTTATTAACATCTACAAGTTATGAGACTCCTAAAATCATAGGCATGAATGCAAACAGATATATTTTCAAGATTTCTCGCGGAACCAAGACAATGAAGAGTGGATAAGCAAGCCATGGTGGAGTTTTAAGGGGTTATTTAAATAACCACCATTCATGGCGTCTTGTTGAGCTTAAAGAAACGACCTCTAGACTGCATTAAAAAACTACGAGGATATAGAGACACCAGTGACCTCACCTATAGAAACTGAGTGGTTTAAGTTAGAGGCCTTACAGGAAGATAATAATCTTAATTCTTGTATATGTATAGTGTGAGTTCTTATAATAAGGATACGCACTCCATTACTTGGCAGAGTGGACAACTCGTACCTTCAAATTAATGGAGGCAACGGGGGTCGTCTTTCTTGAGGTCGAAAAAGCGAGTTTGGTACACCAGGTTTGTTTCACAGATTGCGCATCATAGTCTTTCCTACTATTTTTTTTTGACGTGATCAAATCTTACCTTAAGCACCGAGTATTTGGTATATGTGCGGACAGTGATGCGCGCTCACCCCTAAGACGACTAATAGCCGGAGTCCCAAAAGGATATCTTTTTAGCACCCCTACTTGCACTTTATGTACATCACGTGCGACAGTCTGACGACCCCCAACTTGTAGAGAGCCTTATATGTTTATGACACGGCGATTCACTTCTCGTCAGGGTCTCCTGCCTATTGCGTTAATATCTGATGTCATACCTAGTGACGCTGGCCAACTGTTGTGTTCTTTAAAAAATTAATATTAATGCGGAAAAGTGCAAAGCCCTTTTTTTATCACAAAGAAGCGCACACCATTACCGCCGCTAACCTTTGAAAATAAAGTGTCCTGAGTCGCTGAGGCGATAAACCTGGGAGTCATTAATCGACACTGAAACTCTCGTGGCGGTCGCACGGAAACTATATATATCGCGGGGAGGATCAAGGCTGTGGTTCAAACTCTTTACTTTTTACTTTGTGCCCGAAGCAAACTCTCGCTGCAATACAAACGACGCTTATATTTGTTATACGAAAACATTTTTGTTCAGCGTTGCAACGATTTAAGCTTGGAAGTTGTTAGTGTGGAGGAGAGATTGCGTCGTCTAGTACGTCTTGCAACTTCCATTAAGTCATTAGTTTTTAAACTTGTGCAACTTTTTTAATAAAATTTTCTTAAAAATTTGAAAGGTTTTATTGATTTACTTCTGTTTTCTGCTGGCGTACACGTTAAGTTTATCTACAGGATTAGTAAACATTTTTAAATATTTACGCTATTAAAAGTGAAAGTATAGCCACTGTTACCATGCCTGAACGCCTTTGAAGAACAGCTGCAATCAAACCAAAATTTGTTAGTTATAAAACTTTCTCAAGAACACTTGAACGTGTTTGTTTTGGTTTTTACCCACCCCTACAAATACTTATCATTTCAAAAGTCACTTTAAAAAGTTATACTTTAATTGTTTACTGAAATTAAAAAAAAAAAGTCTCTGAGGATGCAGTGTCAGGCAGCGTTATCTTAAAGGATATGATAAATATAAATCAGCTATATAGTGAATATTGACGCCATTATTGAGTAGAAGAACTGGAGGAGTTGTAAGTTTTAATGTGACTTTAAAAATTCCTAAAAAGAGCACCAGAAACTGTCCCGAGATAGTGGGAGTAGATAATAAAATTTTCAAGAGTACACAGTTGACTTCTTGGGTGATAGCGACAACTTTTACGAAGCTAGGTTGCTTGGAAATTTTTTATGGATGGAAGAAGATAGGCTCGCTTCCTGATAGTAAATGAAGATTTATTCCAACGTTTTGTTGAATTAAAAAAAATTGTGAATAGAGTTAATAAACCTTTTCAAATTCTAACAGCTGAAAGCATGGTTATTGATGTTAGACAACAAAGAATTAAGAAGGAAATATATAAAGCTGTTTTTGCTTGTTAATAACAGTTTAAAAAGAAATTAATTGATTTTTTCTTCAAATCTGGTAATAAAAAATGTTTGAACTCTAAAGACGAATTGGAGCTTATAGGCAAAAATAATCGTTATTTTAACCTTCAAGCTTTTAAGAGTCTAAAATTAAATTTTTCCATCGAAAATTTTTAGAGCTAAAGATGAAGTAATTTTTAATGATAAGGATTTTCTTTCACAAGAAAATATATTTCATAAAGTCAATTTATTATTTTTCCAGAAATGCCTGTAACTTTAGTATAAGAACTTCTCTCGTAAAGAGATATAAACTGCGCTTTCATAACTTAGCGGGTGATAAAATTAATTGCTATAGTAAAATTAAAAAAAAAACTTACCTGGGTAGTTTAAAAGAGGGTCAAATCCACCTTATTCAGGGTTTTCTTCTCATTAATTATTATGAACATAATACTCTTTTTGAAAATAAGAAAGTTGAGAGTAAGAGAGGGACTTGATACTGACATTGCTCTCCTCGATACGCTTGGAACGCAACATGCAATAGGAGAGCATGCAGGGAACGGGATCCTTAATGTAAAGGTCCGCGCCTTATTTAGCAGGTCTGGTTCAATTAAATTTATAATGATTTCTGATTAGTCGATAACATTTAATTGCTACAATTTAATTTCTGTTAAAAAAAAAGATTTCAGTACATTCTGGGGCGACCTGAAAAAACCCTGTTATAATTATTGGATTTTCCCAACTCTTTGCAAAATTTAATCATTAGTATCATATATATATAATCTTTGCATATAAGGGCGGAGTAGCTGCTCAAGAATCATTTAATGTTGATTTTAAATTGTCACCATTATTTCTAAAAATATTATCCTTTATAAAGAATTCTGCTAACCTTTTACCTTTATTGAAAGTAATGACCATTATATATTCACTAGATATAGAAGCGCGTTATACAACTATTCTAATATAAAATTTATGAATCTCTGTAGACTTCTTCTAAAAGGCTCTCCAGACCATAAAAATTTATTTTGTACATACTATGAAGCGATTACTGTTTTGTTACATAATGTCTATCTACTTAATAACATCTTATACCAAAGTAAACTGGATTCCTATAGGAAATTCCGCTGCTCCAAATTTTGGCTATTTTATGTTTGGCGTATTTATGAAGCTTTAGATATATCTAAGTTCTCTCCATATATTAAGTTGTATAAAGGATATATGGATGATAAATTAATCATATGGGTAAAAAAGGATAAAAAAAATGATAAAGTTCAACTTTCGGACTTTTTTAACTAGATGTCAAAATGTACTAAGCCAATCTGGACTTTGCAGATAAACCAGAACAATTCTATTTCCTTTCTAGATTTATTTTTTATTTGGATATACTAATAGAATTGTTCATAAAACGAGTGAAAACGAACCCAACTTATATTTTTATTTTTTCTTACAGCGCACGTCCTCTAAGTACCATAAAAAATCTTAGTGCGACTATAACTTGCAGGAATAAGATTTATGGACGTTTTTTTGAGGAGGATTTCTAGCTTTTTACTGAAAATCTCTACAAAAGAATTCTGAAAAGAGGTTTCTAAAACCTTTAATGGTTCGTACCGTAAAGAATTTTTAGAAAAAACTTTATACCACCTCATCAGAAGAATAAATGAAGCATGCAAGTATAAAGATAAAAAAAAGACGTTGTTGTCTTTAAGTTCATATATAACTGATATGTTATTAAAAAGAGATTTTCTTCGTTATATCATCTGTGCTAATGAAACAGAAGATATCTCTGACTCAAAACTCATAATAGTACACAAACAACCCCCCAAACTAAAAAGCATGGTTTTTACAAAATATTAATTGGTGAATTAGTTGTTGACATGCTTTTATAATTTATTCAATTGGTGAAACAGTTGTTTACTTGCATTTTTTGAGGTTTCTTTCCTTCACGAACCGGAAGTAGTTGTTTTTAATTGGGCAAAATAGGATTCATTGCTTGGATCTTGTCCTCACTGCACTGTTTCTGACTTTTTTTGAGTATAACAGGGGCAGCTTCTGAGGAAGAGTACCCATTTGAAAGGGAATTGCTTTTTAGCACTCTTTGGCCAAAGCTATACTCAAAAGTAAATTTCGTATGTTCAAAACTTTTTACTAAAACCTAACCTAGTTAAAAAAAAATTATTTTTTAAAATTTAACATTTCTTGATAACTGTCTTATAATAAAATATTAATTTTTACATCTTATTACTTTAGCAACTTTATTTATTATTTAAAATTTATTTTTAACCTATAATCTCTTTTAAAAAGCACAGATAGATAAAGAATTACGTCTTAAAATTAATTTTCTAATATTTTTGAAATATTAGCACTAAAGCTTACTGAGAAACTCTAAATTTTTTGTGCAACAGATCTTTTAGCAAAGCATTAGTAAAGAAATGAGCATGACTAAAAACTTATTTATTGAACACCATCCATAGAATCAAGAAGGAGCGTCCAATCTGTCAATCCTTACCATGTCTGGACCTGGTGAGTTTCCCCGGTTGAGTCAATTAAACCGCAGACACCATGCAATTCTATCCTTTTTTAGGGCCTTCGCAGGTGTTGCAAAAAAAGTTTGAGCCTTGCAACCCCTTGAAAAAGGCAATGTGATATTACATTAACTTCATAAAAGTTAAAATTTTAATAGTTTAGAGATTTTTGCAATAGTTATAAGTAAACGGTTTACTCCTGTTTCTTTATTATGTTACGAACAAATTTTCTTTTTAAATAACATGTTGTTTTTCGATAAACTAATAAACATAACAATTACATTAATTACTGGCTTATTTACCAAAATTAAAGTAATATATTTCTAACATAGAAAAACTATATAAGTTCTTGTATTTGAAACAGAAATGAAGCATTTTTCTTTATTATCCTATTCAACAACTTCACTTTGCTTGTTTGCTTGTGACTGATTTTAGCATTTAATAGAGGGTGAAAAAACTTATTACATTTTTTATCTACCAACATTTCTAATTTTTAAATTAAGAAAAATTCTATTCAACGTATTTAAATGCAATCATAAATGCAAACATAAGAATGAAAGTTACTGGACGAGTATACTAAGAATAAATTTAAAGTTCTTTATTTTCTAGAGATGTTAAATGTTATGAGAAATCAAACACAACTTTGTTAATTAGAATTATAGTAAAAAATTTTTTTTTTTTGAGTTTAAGTATTATTTTAACTGTTTTATTAACTAACAAATCTAACTGTAAGTCGTATTAAAATCCTATTTAACGTAATTAAAGTATACTTATAAAGGAAAACAACTATACTATTTTTTAAACAAGAGTTAATTTAACCGTTTTATCTACTAATAAATTTGATTGTTTGTTTAAAAAGATACCATCTAACCTTATTAAAATCTTATACTCAAAGGAAATCAATTGTACTCTTGGAGTTTCTTATGTATAAATTTAAATCTTCATTTACTACTAATAAAATTGGCCCAACTTAATCAATATAGGTACTTATTAAATATAATAGTTATACTATTAAGCTTATTAAGTATTACTTTTACCCTTAATTTAACAATTAAATCTAATGGATTGTTTCAATAAAAATTCAATTTAACCTTGTTCTAATATAATTATAATAGAAAATTATTTGTACTAGTAGTATTTTTACTGGTTCATCTACCATTAAACCTAGTTGTTCGTTTTAAAAAAATTCTACTTAACGTTATTATAACTTAATTAAAAAAAAAATCTAATATATTATTGGAGATTATAATGTATTTTACTAACCGTTTCATACACTAGAAAAATCCAACTGTTCGTTTAAAAGAAATCAAACTCAATCCTTAAAAATTATATAAAAGAATAAAAATTATACTATTAAAATTTAAGGAATAATTCTAACTGTTTAATCTACTAATAAATCTAATTTTGTTTAAAAAAAATTTAACTCAACGTTTTTTGAAAACATAGTTACAAAAGAAAACACTTAACTAGCTGAGTTTACTAAGTACTAATTTAACTATTGCATCCATTAACCATGTTAAAAAATCATCTTAACATAATCAAATTTCTTAATTTTTTACTACAATAAACAAATTAACTTAGAGTTTATAAAGTATTAATTTAACTATTTCATCTATAGATAAATTTAACTTTTCGTTTTGTTAAAATTTTTTGATTATTAAAAATATTTAGCTTCGAGTTACAAATATCTTAAAAATTCTTTCTAAAGAATTTTTTGGGAGATTATATATTCATTAATTAGCAAAATATTTTCTTCTAATAATATGTGTAAGGTGTAATAAAGAAACCCGACATTCCTTCTACAAAATTAGTCGTTCAAAAACTGCTGCACTAAATTTACTAATCAACTATAATATTATAAAAAAAAAAAACTTTCAAGAAATTTTATATAAAATTAACAATTAATGGCTAAAAACTTAGTTGTGCGGAAGTTTATTCTTCCTATTTGTTTTTTATAGTACAATCTCGTTACATCCTATTATAATTAAGCTTTATCTTGTAGTCAATAAGTAAAAGGGAAGAAGTATTAACACAATTTATTTAAATTTTTTATAACGACTTTAACGATTGCTGTGTAATCCTATATATTCATGGGTAATTGTGATGTTACAGTACTTTCAACTCTAATGCGCTCCTTGTTATGAATGACTAACTGCGATTACGGAAAAGTACAAAAAGCAAGTAGCACACCAATCTATAATCTTAATTAGGGATTTGTTACCAAGACGACTTTGGTTATTTCAAAAGCATTCTTTAAGCCCAAGTTATAAATAAGATATAAAAAAATTTTCTTGGGCAACCTAAGTGATTTAAAAGTATACTAGAGAATTATAAATTACCATTTAACATGTTAAATTCATCTGGTCTAAATTACTATTATGGCAAAAGATTTTTACTCAGTCGCATAAAAAAAATTGAAATTAAAAGTCGTGCTCTATAGCACATCATTCGTTTAGAATGTTTTTATATTTTAGTGGAAGTTTAAAAACTTTATATTTCTTCTATTCCTTATATATTAGTTCTAGATGTTTTCCTAAATGCGTAGATATAAAAATTTTTCTGGAGGTAGAAAAATAACGACATTATTAAATATTATTATAGAATAGTTAAGTTTTAATACCATTATAAATTATTTAAAAATACATATCAGTAACTAAATCAAATTTTTAGAAGCATTAATGCGAACTGCAGAGTTCTTCACATTTTTTAATAACTTAGATAGTTAAGTAGGTGTGGTAAAGTTAGGATTGGATAGTATGCTATGCTACTAAGTAGTAATTGCCTATTTACTGTGTAAGAAAAAAAAAGGTAGTGGTTTATGATAAATAAAAATATAGTTTTAAGTTAATTTTGCCTGTTCTTTGTATTAGGCAACTACCTACTCTTTGAATTTAATTTTCTTTTTTTTTTCTTTTCAGGTGCTTGTACGTCTCTTTTTGGTGTAATGATTTAGACTACCTCATATAACAGTGTTGCACTGATAAAATAAATTTATAGAAATAAAGTTTACTTTAGAATTTATAAATAAAAAGTAAAGATAGTAAAATAAGCAGTACTTAAAAAAAAATATAATTCAAATATTAATTATTATTTAAGTTCAAACTGTATACACAGATGGTGGCCAGTTTGTAATGGATACATGCGAACAGTGATTAGGAATATATTAATCTATAATATTTAATCTAAAAGAAAATGTACTCTCTAGTGCCAGATAAAATTATTAGAAATCTATTTATATTATACACAAGTTTTATAGTTGAATAAAAATTAATACATTAATACTTATAACAGATATATTATAAACTATTTAAGGTTTAATGAAACTAAGTCACCAACTTGTAAAATTACTACTAATTTTTTAAATAGCTAGCTAAAAAGCGCTTTTCATTGAAAACTCGTATAATCACCTCTTAAGTGTTTTTATTATTGACAAATCCACTTAACCTGTACAACATAAGTAGGGAAAAGTTATTTTTTGTTTTATATAAAAAAAAACGCTGAAAACGGTCATTTTTTATGGTTACTAAGTAAACAAACAACTTTTTAAAATAAGAAATTACGTGCCCAAATGTTCACTCTATACGGTCAGAGGTTAATTTAATACAACAATTTCGTTTATGCTAACTCTATAAACTTTTGTTTCTTATATTTGTTTATAAATTCACGTAAATGGACTTTTTAAATTTTTCTTTATTTATGTAATATTTGATTTCTTGGTAATTTTACTTATTAACGCTGCCTAACTTATTTCAAGAATAATCGTACTTTAGCATTTTTTATAAAGAGGAATTAATCACAGCTTGAGTCTGCAATTTACTAAATAGCTTGTATTAAGGGAAAACACAAATATTAGCAATTATTTTTTATCATTAAGAAAAAAATAATTTTGTAAAAAATAGAACTGACGTGTGCAATTACTAAATATCGCGTGTTATATAGAAATACTTTAGTATAATTATCGTTAAATAAAAAATTATGTTAAAGATCATAAAAAATGGACATGAAAATAGTATAATATATGCATATATATAAATGCAGACACACGAAAATAGAAATAGAAATCCTTTTTTCACCAAGTCAATTTATATTCTAATGGTTTAAAAATATAACTAAATTAAAATAAAAATAATTTGGGCAAGTTAGAATATATATATATATATCATCATAAGAATTATTAACGATAAATTTAAAAATCAGGTGAAAGTAAGATTATTAAAAATAGACATGAAAATAGTATAATATAAGCAGATATAAATGCAGATACACGAAAATAAATGAAAATATTGTTTTCATGAAGTCATTGCGTATCCTTATAGTTTAAAAAAATAAAAATAAAAATTAAAATAAAAAAATAATTCTCGCAAGCTCGAAGACATGTCATTTCGAGAGCTTTAAATTATCATAAAGACTTCAAGATTATTTAAGGTATTATATCATAGCTATTAGAGTTTAATAATAAACTAAAAACCCTTTTAATACAGTGCGTACCTAAAGTTTTGATAAAAAAATTTTTTAATTTGTATAAAAAATTAACTAAATACTGGATTAAATTCCGCATTTTTTGTTACCATAAAATATATAAAAGGCTTTAACCATCAGTTAATCTACATTTTTACATTCGATGGGTATTAGTTTTGTTCCCATTTCCATATAAAAAAATGTTAACATTTTACTTTAGGTTTTTTCTGTTTAAGTTTCCTGGCAGCTTTATGGCTTACGTTTTGTGTCCCGGCAGGTAACCAACTGCTTTATAACCATCTATATTAACAGGAAACTAATATTGTAATTTAAAAGATGGCATCCCTTTTGAAATGCTTAAGTCTCCATTAGAAAAAGCGAAGACCTTATTGGAGGATATTCTTCGAGACGTAGGTATGCCAATAGATGCCTATCAAGCAAAATATGTTAGTATTCTGTTCGCGAACGAATTAAATAAGAACGTGTGCTACGCCACCATAGAGGATAACCTAGCCCATGCTTTTTTAAAAAACGACTGGGATAGATATGAAACTATTTTATCTATAGACAAATGCGGTGGTGCCAATATTACATTTTTGGATTCGGATAAAGTTACTTTACCCAACTTTACTTTTGATGATCGTGTAAATGCTAAACCTCTTCCTTGTAAGATGGAATACCTCATTAACCCATTAGGTTATACAGTCACACCTTCTATATATTTCC